GGAAAATGGGAGGCTGGGAGGAGGCAGAAACCTTTTGTTTTCCTCTTCTCAATAAAAAAAAGAAAATGTAAAAAAAAAAAGAATACTACTCAGCGGTAAAAATCAATGACTTCTCAAATTTTGCATGCAAATGGATGGAAATAGAAAACACTATCTTGAGTGAGGCAACCCAGACCCAAAAAGATGAACATTGGATGTACTCATAATTGATTTTTAGCCATAAATAAAGGTCACGGAGTCTTTAATTGGTGAACCTAAAGAAGCTAAATAAGAAGGTGAACCCAAGGAAAAACTTACAGTTATCCTCTTGGCTATGGGAAGTAGACAAAATTGCCGGGGAGAATATTGGGATCTTGGAGGTGGAGTGGGATGGTGGTAAGGGGAGATAGGGAGTGAAAAGTAAGAAGGGGAGGATGGGGGGAACCTGGGAAAATAGGATGATTGGGATAAAGGAAGGTTGGATAGGGGAACAAGGAAGCACAATTCTTAGTTAAGGGAGCCACCTTAGGGTTGGCAAGAGACTTGAACGTAGAGTGGCTCCCAGGAGCCCAACGCAATGTCCCCAGTTAGTTCCTTGGGCAGCTGAGGACAGGGAACCTGAAATGACCCTATCCTATAACAATACTCCTGAATATCTTGCATATCACCATAAAACCTTCGTCTGGCGATGGATGGAGATAGAGACAGAAACTCACACAGGAGCATTGGACTGAGCTCCCAAGGTCGCAATGAAGAGCAGAAGGAGGGAGAACATGAGCAAGGAAGTTAGGACCACGAGGAGTGCAGCCACCCACTGAGACAGTGGGGCTGATCTAGTGGGAGCTTACCAGGGCCAGCTGGACTGTGACTGAAAAAGCATGGGATAAAACCGGACTCTCTGAAAATGGCGAACAATTAGGGCTGATGAGAAGCCAAGGACCATGGCATGGGGTTTTGATCTTACTTCATGTTCTGGCTTTGTGGGAGCCTAGCCAGTTTTGATGTTCACCTTCCTAGGCATGGACGGACGTGGGAGGACCTTGGACTTTTCACAGGGCAGGGAACCCTGACTGGTCTTTGGACTGGAGAAGGAGGGGAAGAGGAGTGGGGGGAGGGGGAGAAAGGTGGGAGGAGGGCGAGGGAAATGGGAGGCTGGGAGGAGGTGGAAACTTTTTTTCCTTTTCTCAATTAAAAAAAAAGAAGAAAAAAAAAATAAAACTAGTACAGCCTGCAATAACAAAAATAAAATAGGATAGAATAGAATAGAATTCTAGACAGATAAAAACAGAGTCAAGTGAACCCTCTTGGTAACTGTCTTTATTGCAGTAAGGTTCGTTTGGTGGGAGCAAAGAGAGGTACAGCTCCTTTAAGAAAGGCTTTCTGATTCCGCAAAACCACATGGCAACTGTTTTAAGAAGCCCTTACATCATACACTTAAATAGTGTTCATGAGAAGCCAGAAGCATGATTCTTTGTAGTAGCATGGATCTAGAAACTCCTCAGAGTTATGGCAATAAACATGTCTTCCACTTGTACCTCCTCCAGGAAGCTAGACTCTCAGGAAGCTAAGGAATGGGGTGGGGCTAGTCAACAAAGTGGCAGCTTTAATCCTAGCCATGCCATTTAGCAGATTAAAGACTCATATGCTCAGAAACAATATATATGGTTTACAGGATGTTTAAAAATTATACATAGGCTTCAGAGGGAAAAGAAAAAGGATGGAGAAAGTCATTGAAACAAAGAAATAAAGGAGTTGGGCGTGGTAGCACACACCTTTAATCCTTGTACTTGGGAGGAAGAGGTAGGTGTATCTCTGTTAGGTTGAGGCCAGCCTGGTCTACAGTATGAGTTCCAGAACAGCCAAAGATATACAGAGAAACCCTTTCTCATAAAACCAAAAATTTAAAAATAACAATAAAATGAATAGAGTAAAAAGAAAATCCATGTAAGATGGAAAATATACAAAGGATCTGGATACTGCGTGTTATTGCATTGTTTTTTTTTTTTTTAAGTGTTTGACTGCTAGGGAAGTAGCAACAGCTGCTAAAAGACATTTGATTATAAATGCTGCTGGATTAATCCAACCTATGTATTTTGAAAATGCTTTGACTTCAAAATTTAAGTCTTAAAGATATTTTACCTTGGAGAAGATGCTTTTCTTTTATTTCCACAGGAAATTCGAAGCTGTGGATTCATTCTGGATTATGAAAAAGAAGGTTTTATTGAGGAAGACACCCTGAAAAATCTCTGATAATAGAATATGGCCCAAATGATCCAATGACTCAGAACACCTCTGTTATAGTTTCTTCTGGGTTCTGCATCCAGAACAGCTTCAAGGCTGCTGAATAGGATGATCCAGCCTCATAAAATACTCCAGTAAGTATTTGACCATAATCCTAAATTTTCTTTGTGTCCCTGTAATATTACCAGTGCCCCAATCAGGAAGAAGTAGCCTAGAAAACTATACCTACATTCCCCCCAAAAATGGATTATAAATATTTGTCTTTGTTTAGCATGTTGGTTACAAGTTGTTATGAATAAAGCTAAACAAAGGAGATTAGAATCACTATTCTTCTTTTGAAAATACAAAAAGGGAAATGCTGTGGGATAATACTCTTACACACTGTAAAGATTTGTCATTTGAGTTAAGCTTCCAGCGTGAATGTCACGGACAAGATGATGCCCCTATTTCAGGTCTCTCCACTCATCAAGCTCAGCCAATACTCAGCCCTGGTCCTTGGCATAGCCTACGGCACCAAGTACTATAGTTACCTAAAGCCTTGGGTAGAGGAGGAGAGGAGGGTTACAGCAGAGGAAAAGAAGAGACTAGATGAGCTGAAATGGATTGAGAGAGAATGGGCAGAAGCTCAAGATGACAGCATACTCAAGTGAAGCACTAGTGAGCTTGCCTTTCCTAAGTCACTGAGGATGAATAAAGCTTTGTTGTGTGATGAAAGAAAAATTTTTGTATTGGTTTAATAAAATACTGATTGGCAAGTAGCCAGGTAGTAAGTATAGGCAGGGCAAACATACTAAGAGAATTCTGGCAGAGAGTCAACCACCAACCAGATGTAGAGGGAGCAAGATGAGAATGCCTCACTGAGAAAAGGTACCAAGCCACATGACTAAACATAGACAAGAATTATGGGTTAATTTAAGTTGTAAGAGATAGTTAATAATGAGCCTGTGCTAATAGATCATCAGTTTATAATTAATATAAGCCTCTGTATGTTTCTTTGGGACTGATGACTGCGGGATTGGGCAAGACAGAAAGTTACATCTGCAGCCAAAGTTATACAAAGTAACTCTGTCTCAAAAAAATAAAAAGACTCAAAAGTCTATTTATAAAATTCATAAATGACTTCAAACATTATAAATATTAGCAGATGAATTCAGTCAAAGATCTGGAGAGAAAAGTTAGCAACATAAAAGTGAAGGTTAAAAATATGTGTGACAAAATACACAATATAGATGATAAAGTCAGCAGCATAGAAGACAAAAGTCACCAAGGAAATTGATATTTTGAAAAATAGAAATATTGGATATTAAAAGCTCATCCTTAAAAATGATCATAATTATAAATATAATTAAAAATATTTGAAAAAGCAAAAAATGAATTAACGGGAATGGAGGATAAGATTGGGGCAATATTATACTAAACATCAATAAAAATAAAAAGAACATGGAAAGAATTTCCAAAAAGTCTGGGGTACATACAATCAAAAGAGCAAAGCTTAAGCAACTGTGGACTAGAAGACAAAACAGAAATTAAAAACTAAACACATAGAGAATCTATTCACTAAAATTATATCAGAATATCATCCACATTCAGAGAAAGAAACTTACACCAAACAAAATGGTATTAAAAAAATCCTAACAGACATGTCTGGAGGAGAACTTCTGTATGAGACATTATAGTTAAATATGTCAAAAACACAAAGGAAGGAATATTAAAACTGTAATGGAATAATGCTTACCCTGCTACAAAGGCAAGCACTTGACAAAAACACTGATCTCTCATCAGTAAACCTAAAAACCAGAAAAGCATGGGGTCATATATTTAAGCTATATCAGTAATTGTCAAGGAAGATGAAGGTTATAGAGAAATAATGACAGTTCATAACAAGCACAAAACAAGGAATTTTATGAACACTAAATCAGCACTGAAGAAGACAAAGGAATATGTCATGAGATCCCCAAAAAGAATAAATTTCATACAGAATAAAGGAGTGCTGGGATGAAGAAAGCATTCTTGTTGAATACAATAAAACAGTGAATACAGATAATAATAATCTTAAAACAGCCAAAAAATTGCAGGCATTAGTGCACAAATTTCAGTGATATCTTAAGTGTACATAGCCTTAAGTCACAAACAAGGAGACACTGATTGGCTGAGTATGTTTCAAAACAATATCCAACTCTTTGTTGTCTCCAAGTGACACACATTTTTGAAGAAAAGGACTAGAGTAATAGTTAAGGAATGGAGGTCGATTTATCAAACAAACAGAAGCTGAAAATAAGCATCTATAGCTGTTCTGGTATCTGCTAAAGTAAAACTCCAACTAAACATAGTCATACAAGATAAAGAAAGGCCAGTCCTATTAATAGGAGCAGCAATTCACTAAGAAATAGAGAAAGAGGCTGGGGAGATGGCTTGATTGACAAGAATGCTTGCTGCTTAATCTGAGTTTGAATGCCTAGCCATGTAAAAATCTGGCCATGGTCCCATGTACTTGCTGTAACTCTAGCACGGGGGAGGTGGAGATAGGAAGATCAATGGGATTTGCTGGTAGCCAACCTACCTCCAAGTTGAATAAGAGATTCTCTATCAAGGAAATAAAGCAGAGTTTTATGGAGTCATGCTCTATGTCCTCCTTTGGCTTCTTTGCACATACACAGGTACAAGGATGCACACACATGCACACATGGACATAAACTACTCACACAATTCCAACACACATAATACATGAACATATAAAGATATAGGGTGAATATTGTGGCTCTAACCTTTATAAAGCAAACACTAATTGGCCTAAAATGTCACAAAGGTATTAATACAATAATAGCAGGTGATTTTAATACCCCAGTCTCATCTTTAGATATGTTATGCAAAGTGAAAATCAACAAAAATACACAGTTATTAACAATATTATACATGAATTGGACTTAAAAGTATCTAATGAATAGTCTATCCAATTAGTATAGACTACACATTCTTTGCACTAGCGTATTAAATCTTTTCTAAAGCAAACTGCATTTTAGTCCACAATGCAGCACTCAACACATAAAATATTTCTTTGTATCTTATCAGATAATGTTGTAATAAAACTAGAACTAAATAGCAAAAAAAACCCCACAAATACTGAGAGACTGAATTTTTGAATGATCAGTGAGTCATTTAATGTAGTGAATTTAAAAAAAAATTAACAGAATCAAATGAAAATGAATACAAATCGTGAGACCCATTTTAATATAGTTAGTGAAGAATTAAGAGTAAAACTCATTTGTTATGAGGGCTTATATTAAAAACTCAGATTCTAAACAAATCTAATGGTACACATCAAGATTTTATAAGAGAAACAAGACAAAAAAGCAATAGGTGGCAAAAAGTAATACCGGGGGGGGGGGGATAATGAAATGGAGACTAAAATAGGAGTATATAGAATTTATCAAACAAAAGCAAGCTTTTCAAGTTGACAAACAAGATTAACAAAATCTTGGACAACCTGACCAAAAGAAGAAGAAAAGATCAAAAGTGATTAAAATTGGGGACTTGACGGGGAATGCTACAAAAGGCTGCAATGAAATCCAGAGGATCACTGGGTAATATTTTGAAAGCTTATATTCTCCCAACTAGAAGATCTGAAATAAGTTATTAAACATATATGACACAACAAAATTAAACCAAGAAGGTGTAGCAGTCCCATAACAATTGAAGTAGAATTAAAAACAAAATTTCTTCATAAGAAAAAGCCCAGGATTAGATGGATTCTCTGTATGATTCAACCAAACCTTTAAGAAAGATTTCACAAATTAGAAAGGAAACAATATCAAATTCATTGCCAGAAACCAATAATTTCCCAGTAATAAAACTGAATAAGAAAACAGAGAGAGAGAGAGAGAGAGAGAGAGAGAGAGAGAGAGAGAGAGAGAGAGAGAGAGAGAGGAAAACTAATAAAAGACCTTTCAATAATTTTGACCCATTTGGTTGAATCTTAGGCAAAGAAGGGGAGTTTAACATACACAATACAATAAATACTTGCAATATTTTATTGAATTTTTTCTTTGGTAACAGAGACCAATCCTCACTTTTTTTTGTATCTTTATCTGGTATTGGCATCAGAATAATAACGACTTTGTAGAAAGAGTTTGAAAGCATTGCACCCTTACCTTTCAGATGAATGCAGATAAAAGTGCTTTGAGGTTCTGCCTCATCCCAGTCAGAATAGATATTATCAAGCAAACAAATGACAAAAATACAGACATTGATGTATGGAAAGGGAATCCTTAGGTATACTTAGTGGGAATGTAGAATTGTTCGTCCACTGTGGAAGTCAGTCCAGAGGTTTCTGAAAATCAAAACAAAACCAAAAGTAAAACTGCCAGATGACCCAGCTGTGTCACTCCTAGAAATATACTAAAAGGATTTATATTAAAGAAATACTCACACATCGGTGTTCGTTGTGACTCAATTCATGAGAACTAGGGCATGTATAAGTCAACCAAAATGTCTGTCAATTGATAAATAGATCAATAAAGTGTGTTCACAAATACAGTAGATTTTTGATTCAGCACTAAGGAAAATGAAATAAGTAAATTTGCAGGTAAATATTTGGAATTGGGAAAAATTATACTGAGCAAGGTAACTCAGTCCCATAAAATCAAAATCTATGTGTCTTATTTCATACACAGTTCATAGCTTTGAATTTTAAAAGAATTTTTGCTTGTTGAACTTGGAATCTTATCACAGACCTGAAAGGTAGAAAGCAGTCATTGTGTGGTAGCAAATCAAATTTCTGTTGACATCCTTATCAATTCTACACAGACCTGATAGGACAGTTGGAGCTGAAGCTGTGCTCTCTAACACTTGCTAGACATCCTTCAGCCACTGCAGGCATCCGAGAGTCGGCCAATAACCAGAGCTTCAAATTTGCCTTAGAGTCCCTCAACAGAGCCTTCCCATTCTGCCATTAACCACTATCTGGGTTTGACTCAAGAGGAGGGGGCTGGTGCCCGTCAATCCTTTGCATGTTAAAATAGCCATCCTTTATAGTGCAGGATATCTAGGGGGTCATAGGTCACCTACACTCTGCTGGGACAAATCAGGTTCACAATGGAGATACTCTCCAAAAAAGTATAATATATAAAGTGTGGATTCTTTAAAGGTGGGGATATACAAGTTTACTATGTAGATTCTAAGCTATTTATACAAGTAAGCTATGAGGTACATGTAGGGGTATTTTGTTTGTCCTGCTAATGCTCTTATTATTGCCCAGATCTCTGAATCTTTCGCTGACTGCCACAATTTTGCCATGGTCACTATCTCAAAATACCACTACACATTATGGTTTATTCTTTTAATCCCCATGTTTTAAGAATCCATTATTTTAATCTCTCCCTTTCTCTCTTTTTAACATGGGGAGGGAAATCCAGTTACACAATTACATCAGAATACTTCCTACTAAATGTAATACTATTACCCATTTATCAATTGTTTTCTATATATTTTACATTTCATCCTTACTTATTACATTCATTTGGGCTTAATTGAATATATGTATATATATCATCATTTATGACTATTTTATTTGTTGACCATAAGCTTTTATACTCTAAAGTTATAACAATTTTATTTTGATAAAGTTTAATTTTAATCTTATGCAAAGCTTTATGTAACATATTAATAACTATTTTATGTATTTGTTTTTATGTCCTGTTTAAAAAAAGCTGTAGTGACATAATTATTTTGCTAGTGACTTCTATTTCTTAACTTCCAGATCTTTGTTAATGTGACTTCATATTCTTGCCTAGTACTCTTGAATTTCAACCAGAGGGACACAATTCACCTTTCATGTGGGGAAGTACACTGGCAACAAATTTTCTTGTTTTCTTTTACTGGAGAACATATTCATTTTTGAAGGTGAGTTTTGCCAGAATTGCAACCATCATTTGAAAGTTTGTTTCTGTCTTCCAGTATTTTAAATATATCACTTTACTAATTTCTGATCAGTAAGGTTTCTCATGATAAATTAGAATAATCTTATTTTAGATGATCAGTCATCTCTTACTTTTGAGATTATTCCTTTATCTTTGCTTTTGCTCTTCTGAACAGAGACTTTCCTCTCTATCTGTCCCTCTGTGTGTGTGCATGTGTGTGACTGGCTATATACATGTGCCTCTTGTTTTTTGTTGAGCTCCTTGAATTAAGAGATTCACTTGTTCAGTCAAATTGTTGTCTTTTCTTATATATTTCATTTTTTTTTCTGTTCACTCTTCTTAGGCAAGTTTCATAATTCATCCTTGGTTTGCTTTACAGTGTCTCAGAAGTTTCTTAGGATGTGTTAACATTCTTTTTTTCCCCTAGATGTTATAATTTTATTATTCTGCCTTCTGGTTTGATGACTCAGTATTTGCTAAACTTTCTTTTGATCTCTTCTAGTAAATTATTCATTTAATATTGATTTTGTATGTAGAATTTTTATTCCTTTTATATTTTTTTCTTTTTTATTATTCTTATTTTGTTTATACATCATTTTCCCTTTAATTAAAAAAATATTTACTTCATGTGTGTGTGTGTGTGCCTGCAAATGTACTTGCATTTATGTGCATATGAATGTGAGTAAATGGAGAGGCCAGAAGATGACATTGGGTTCTTTGAAATTGAAGTTACAGGCAGTTATGAGCTACCCTTTGTGGGTGCTCAATACCAATGTTGGTATTGAGAACTGAATTTGGGTGTCTGTAAGAACTTCATGTGTTCTTAACCATCAAGTCATCCCTCTAGCCATTCTTTTCATTTTGCTTTAAAATGTTTTCTTTTGTTCTTTCAAAAATACTTGTGATGACTGTTCTAAAGGCTTTCACAATAGCTTCAATTCTGGGGAGTCCTTAGGCTGGTGCTTGTCAATTCATATTGTGTCTGTGTTTTCTATTTCCTGTTTCTGTGTTGACAATTAGCTTTAAATATAAAATATTGAAAGTCATGAAATAAAGTTATTTTCTATCCTCAAGGTTTGCTTTTTATAAATAAAGATAATGCTAGGTTTTTTTTTAAATTGAAACTTTTGAAATAGTTTCTAAAGAGTATTTCTTTTCTATGATGTGTGCGCACAACAATTTCTGTTCTTTGACATCATCCTCAATTAACGCTTGAGAGAGATTAGCTGGAGTTCCAGCAACTCTCTGTATATTCAGAATGTGTCTCTCCTGTGACTTTCCTTAAACACTTATGTAGACTTGCTCTGAGCCTAGCTTTCCACCCATTGTGAAAGGGTACGGTCTTAGTTCTTTTTTGACTCAGAATGTGTTTTGTCAGGGCATGTGCATGAGTTTCTAAATTCTTTTGTTCACACAGTTATTTTAGAATGTCCCAATTTTCCAAATATTTTCCTACGAGATTTTCTTTTGTGCTCCATTTAACAAAGTGCATGTCCCTAAACACAACCACTTGTCTTAAGCATCTGCTATTTTGCCATTACCACCAAGCCTTTATAAAGTACACCTGCTTATTTGCCACTTGATTTCCAACTTATGAAAAATAAAAATGAGTTTTCTTTGTAAGATAAAACAGACATATAGATTTACTCTAAAAAATTGGTTACTTGTGTTTTACATACACGCAGCTTCTCTTACTAATCCTAAAACTAATAAACGTCATTAAGAAATAGAGAACATGTTGCTAAAAATTTGCATCACTTGATGGAATTGGTTTTTGTCTTTTCTAGGGATCTTCCCCCACTTACTGAGTTGCCTCATCCAGCCTTGATATGAGGGTTTGTGCCTAGTCTTACTGCATGTTATTATGCCATGTTCAGTGGAGATCCCTGGGAGTCCTGCTCTTTTCTGGAGGGAACCAGAGGAGGAGTGAATCTGGTGAAGAGGGGAGGTTGGCAGAGGGGACAGATCTCTGGGAGGACAGGAGAGAGGGGAAACTGCAGTAGGATGTAATGAATAAGAGAATAAGTAAATAAGTAAGTAAGTAAATAAATAAATAACAGAAAAACTTTAAATCTCATGAATTAGAATTTATGCTATAGGTAACATATAATAACTGACAATGATTACTGAAACCCAGGAAACAAAATATGGAACAAATTATAAAATAGACTATAAATTTCAAAAATAATCTTAAAAACAATGAAGATAATCAAATAACCAAACAGTAATTATGGGCTCATATGATTGATTACCATATGAGTCTAAAATAATACCAGGAACTAATTGTGATATATATATAAAATAAAAATAAAAATTATTTTATTTAATCTTAGAATTATTCAATACAATGTGTACCATCTGCAACATTGCTAAACAAAAGAACCTCTGTATGTATGCATATTTTGTATACATTTATCACTTTTACTGTTAATTCAGTGCATTAGAAAACGAAATAGATTGGGTATCTTCAGATACTTAAATTTGGGAATTTAATGATGTCCATTAATAATTCATGAGTTTATACAAATATGTAAGTTACATGTGATTTTCATTATGAATTATCCAAAAATGAAGGATAATATAGTTTTTGTTAAGCACCAATGAAATGATTAGTGTTAGATCTCAAAAAAAAAATAAACCTGGCAACTGAATCACAAATCTAGGCCATTTATAGATTGCAAACTCTGATGAAAATTAATTACAACTAGAAAATAACCTGTTCTTAAAACACCAAGTTATTCTTAGATCAAAGAAAAAGTAAAAAACTGTTATCACTATTCCAAAAGCAAGAACACTACTGTGTATTTAAACCCAACGGTAAAAACAAAACCACAATAGGTAGCAACCAACTTAAAAGCCATCTCATATTTTATTTAATAACATTTCATTGTTAGAGAAATAAAAACAAATTCCTCATTTATAAACGAAACACAAAGTAATTCTAAGGCATTCATGAAGAGAGAAATAATCCAAAGTCAGGAATCAAAGCTAAAGAAGATACAAAATAAAAGAATAAATAAATTTAACAAGGTAGACAACTAGCGATAAAGGAGAAAATAAAGAGTTATATAGAAAAACATGCACAGAAAGAATCATAAAATGTATTTAAAAATAAACTCGAATGATTCTGGGACTATGTTAAGGAATCATGTACATAGTACTGGGCTAAACGTTATAAATCATTGGTGAAATAAATAATGCCTGGAGAAATGAAAATTGCTAAAGTTGACTAAAGAGAAACCATTAAAAATAAAGATAGCCTTGGGAAAAAACATGAAAGATCTGAACTACAATCAAAGAACTAACATCAATAAAAATGTCATCAGGTCCACGTACTGATATACTTTTGGTATAACTAAGTTGATACAACAAATATTTTTGTCCAAGAAGTCGTAAAAGTCTTAAAATGCTTATCTACTTTAGTGCAGTAATCCCACTTTTGCAAGAGTGTCCTAAGTAATGTTTATTTAAGATAGACGATAGAATAAACTAAACAAAAATTCCAGGGAAAAGGGATCATGGCTAAACCTTCCATAGTGGGAAATTGCTAAGTTCATGTGGGAGAAAATAAAAGATTTTCAGAAAATACACTTCATCACACTGTAGGGCTTTACTTTAAATCAGGTAGAACTTGAAGCAAAATTAAAGATTATAAGAAAAAACTAAGCAGAAATGTTATAAATAATGGTATTATAAAAAGATAACTCTAGAGGAAGTGGTAGTGAGAGAGGGACCTTGCAGGGAGGTTTGATGGGAAGAAAGGCAAGAGGGAAATGCTATAATTATATTTTATTTTTAAAGAAAGTTAAAAAAGGTAGTCACTGAGTTGGTTATAAACTCCATGCCAAACTAAAAAATAAGCCTTGAAAGAGAAGATAGATAACATACAAATGTTAAATCTTCATCTTATAAATCTTATCGATAAATTCTACATTATTGACATATGATAGTATATGTTTGTATTTTAAAAGCTATAAAAATAAAGTTATGCTAAAAATATACACGATCATGTGTGTGTGTGTGTGTGTGTGTGTGTGTGTGTGTTGGGGTCAATAAGACTTGTGAAATTCATGAAAAACAAAGTTATAAACTATAAGTTACATAAAAACTTAATATTCTTAATATTTAAAGAGTTCCCACAAACAGTATATAAAAAGAAAAAAATATTTTAAACTTGGATTTAGATAGAAATTCCCCCGTGTATTAACTGCACAACACTAAAAATAAAACATCATTTTACTAGTAGGAATGTAGTTCTTTTATGGATTAAGTGCCCTTAGTCTCTTCACATCTCTAAATCAGTGTCAGAACTGTCAGAGTCATGGGATCTTACTCAGAGTCCAGTAGGACACATAGTCCAAAAGAGATACTAGGAAAGAGTTTTTAAAAAATTCTGTGAGAAGAGAATCAAGTGCCTTCTACCACCCTTAATTCAGTGTAAGGAAATGGTTCCACCATTGCATGTAACTTTGTAATACAGTTTTTTGGAATATAAAAAAGTGAGATACGAGTACTTACTTTTTCTTCCTGTGTAAAAACACTCAATTGTTGGTTTAGAAGTGATAGTGGATGAAGGCATACTTGTAAAACTGTCTTGTAACTTAGAAATTTTTAATTTACATTGTCAGTGAGCATGCATTTGCTTTAAATACAAGGCAGAAAGTAGATATTAAATATTGTGTCATATTTTAAAACAAATCCCACGCTATTAAAGAATGGGTTTAAGCAAACAACTTGTACTTCTTTAATTTCTAAACAAAATACGAACATCTTCAAATATGTTCATTCTGTCAATTCAATTGATTTATGATTGTCAAAGTAAATTTCTGACTATATATTAAAAAGTCATTTGTCCAAACGAAAGAACTTTCAGGATAAGCAATGGAGATGAGACATTAACAGATTAACAGAGACATCCATGAAGAAGCGTTTGCATGTATGGATATATATATAAATTAAGAAAACTGGAGCTGAGAGTGTACCACAGTTGGTCATAAGTTGCTTCCTTCATGCATACGCACAAAGCCCTGATTTCCTTCTCCAGTGGCATTCAAACTAGGTAAAATGGCACATGCTTGGAATCCCAACATTTGCGAGGTAGTGGCTGGAGGACCAGAAATTCAAGTTCAATCTTGGTTACATATGGATTTTGAGGTCAGCTTGACTTAGAAACCTTTTTTCAAAAAATAAAGGTAAATGAATGGGGAGAAACAGGGAGAGGGAGAGGGTGGTGGCAGGGAAGGAGAGAAAGAAAAGAAAAAAATTCTACTTCTAAACACTGAAGTTAAACAACTTACTGAAGAAATCAATCTGAACAGTTTTCATTTCAGTATGTGTATAATATGCTCAACATGAACCTTAATGGTCAGAACCAACTATTTTATTGAAGTTCTTAAATATACTTTACTTACATGAGTTATGTTTTATTTTCTGTTAGTAAAAATCTATGGAAGAATTGTTTGAGATGTCAGCACTAAAATTATTTTTTTCTGTATAGGCTAATGAACGTATGTATTCTATGTTAGTTAGTACATTCTACTATGGAAACGTTTCAAGCTCTTTCTAATAGAAATTGTGCCAAAATTTAAAAATTTTTATTTTTATTTATTGCTATCATTATGGGGGGGATATGTGTACCAGGGTGGGTGTGCAGAGGTCAGAGAACAGTTTTCAGTAGTCTTTTCTCCCTCTTCACCTTTATGTCGGTTCTAAAGGTCAAGCTAAGGTCATCAGACTTGCATGGCAAGCACCTTTACCTGCTGAGTCTTCTCATGAGCATGGAAGAATCTCTTTTAACTTAACATTTTACATCTGCATATTATAGTCAATAAGCAGGTAATTATAATTAAATTAAGCATGGCCATTTACCATGAGGAGTTTGAGTGTTCTTGTTTCAGACTAATGATATTAACAAATTATACTCCAGTGTCCTAAGATTTCAGTATTTGTGCATACTGTTGTCCAGAATGATTTCTTAATTATCATTTTATGCCAAGTTTTAACATCTATTGTGTCTGTCACTATGCTTGTGAACCTATTATAAAATGTTATAAACTACTGAAAATGAGAAGGAAATAAAATACTAAAGCAATATTGCCTTGGTATTTTAGGTGTATCTTTATATAAAAGTTTTACTGAAAGAAGAAATTTGGAATTATGATTCTAGTAACCTTATCAATCTGAGATTAATTAGCGGTACATAATCTCTTGCTGGCCAAAGTGTTATCACATATGCTGTTCACCATTAATTTGCAAAAGGAAAATTAATAGAAAACCCTGTGGAAGTCAAAACATTAATCTCCTAAGAGTGAAAATGGATCAAAGACCTCAATATCAGTCTGAACGCACTGAACCTGATAGAAGAGAAAGTGGGAAGTACCCTACAACAGATGGGCACAGGCGATCGCTTCCTATGTATAACCCCAGCAGCACAGACATTAAGGGCAACATTGAATAAATGGGACCTACTAAAACTGAGAAGCTACTGAAAAGCAAAGGACACTGTCACTAAGACAAAAAGGCAACCCACTGACTGGGAGAAGATCTTCACCACCCCCGCAACAGACAAAGGTCTGATCTCCAAAATATATAAAGAACTCAAGAAACTAGACGTTAAAATGCTAATTAACCCTATTAAAAAATGGGGCACTGACCTGAACAGAGAATTCTCAACAGAAGAAATTCAAATGGCTAAAAGACACTTAAGGTTATGCTCAACCTCCTTAGCGATCAGGGAAATGCAAATCGAAAACTTGGACTAGTATATGAAATTGCAGTTAATATTTATCTGACCTTGGCAGCAGAAAGCTCGTCCCAACAGGTTCTAATATAAAAGGAACAGGTGTTGTTGGTGGGGGTGGAATAAGGTTGAGACCAGAGACACAAAACTAGAACTTGGTAGATTTGATAGCAGCATAATTTTAAAGTACCATATACCAAATTCATTATTAAAACTTGAAGGCAGATAAGATTAAGAAAAGCGTGTTGATATGTTCTATGTGTAGATGAATAATATAGGGAAAATGATCTTCCAAACAGAAAGGGAAGGAAAAATATTAAGGATAGGAATGAAAGCAAAAATTTATATCTGAAAAATTTATAACTATTCGTGTTCATTTTACATCAGCCTATTTCAGCAGATGTCACAGATTATTGTTGTTTTGAATTCTTGTTTGCTTGTTTTGAGAAATGGTTTCATTATCTAGCTCAGGCTGACCTATAACCCACAATTCCTTCTCACCCAGCTTCCAAATGCTCAAATCACGGCCTTGCACCATGTCCAGTGCAATATCACAGTTCTGTACTAAAAAAGTTAAATTTATGTGTGTCTCACATGTGCACTGTTGCATGCATGTGGAAGTCAGAGGAAAACTTTCAAGAATTGATTCTCTCTTTCTACCATGTAGGACCTGAGGATCCAACTCAGGTCTTCAGGTTTTTCAGCAAGTCCCTCTACATTCTGAGCAATCTCATTGGCCCCAGTAATTCTACCTTTAACTAGCTATTCTGTTAAAATTACAAAGTAGAACAACAATTGCCAGTGTAAGCAATACTGTGCATTTATCAAGCTGCAATGAAGACATTTACTGGATTTATTTCTTCTATGACCATGTTCCTATATTGTCAACCAATGCTAAACACATCAGAACATGGTGCTATTGGAAGGCGTTTTGTGAGTTTATGCCTGTTGCAGAATCAACCTTTTACACAGAAACAGCTTTGATGTAGTCCTTCATGGTTGCTTTCAAAACCGAGTGCATTTTAAAAGGCTAAGTAACAGTGCCACCTTAAGAGATATGACAACGATTCAAGGCTCCTGCTGACTTTTTTTTTGCATTTTTTAAATTTATTTATTTATTTATTTATTTTTTATTTTTTATTTTATTGAGAATAGGAAAAAAAAAGTTTCCGCCTCCTCCCAGCCTCCCATTTCCCTCCCCCTTCCCCCCAC